TATAATTCACAAACTAATGATCCGACAGCCGTCAAATTTATAGACGCGTCTTTTGAAGGTTAGGACTAACTGAAAATCATATGGATTTAGTTCTGGTGCCGCCATCTATGTGTCAGGCCGGGGACTTTTCAATTGACTCTAGTATATACCTATAGTACGATAGTGTAAAACGAAAGCTAAAATAGTGCCAAAAAGACACTAAAAATCGAAATCTTAGTGTTGGTTTAATAGATAAATTATTTTTCATCCCTAACCTGGCTGTGATTCTAGGTTATATTTCACAAATAAGGGAAAGAAACGGAGACTTTTAAAGATGTAGATTGTAGTACATTTGGATAAGTGCGTGGATTCGGTCGGGATTGTTTTACTGTTATTTGAGCTTACTGTTCTGAATACGTATTCTGAAACCGGTTTCAAACTCTAAACACTTTTAAAATAAAGTAAAAAATAGCAGAATACCAACAACTGTGATGGAAAATAGCAACGGAAAAAAATTTATTTATTTAATGCGTCTTACCTTATATGACGACATATATGTGTCGAGAAGAGACAGTAGATGACGGGATTGGCAGCACTGTTAAGCGGTGCTAAACTTTGGATCAAAGTTGCGATTGCAACGTTCGTTTGGGTTCTTGGAATGTACTCGTACACTTGAAGGAGGTCAAACACAATGTATGGACTCCAACAAAGCACAAAAACTGCAACAAATAAAAAACAACTGTCAGTATTACGATCTCGGTGATATCTTTGCAGGATGGCCGGCTTCGTTCTAAGACCATTTGTTTTTGAAACTGACTTTCGTTCATCAAAACATTGACGACAAATAATAACTATCGCATAATAAGACAGAATATTGCTGTACATTCATCATCATAATCATAAGGTTGTCTGTCCTAAGACTGGTTGGGCACGCACCTCTACTCTTTCTTATCCTGAACTAATTTTCGCATTTCCCTAAAACTAGAACATCCTTAACTATTTGCGAACAGTAATCTAATCTAGGTCTACCTCTACTCCTCTTAACTCCTGCTTCTGCCTCTAATATATCTCCTCTGACTAGACCTTCATTCCTGAGAAGATGTTCTACCAACCTATCGCGCTTATTTCTTATTGATTTCCACAGCATACCTTGTTTTCCTATTCTTTCTAATACCTCTTCATTTCTAACCTTCTCTATCCACGGTATCCTCATCATTCGAGATAACACCACATTTTGAAAGCTTCTAACCGTTTCTTTTGCGCATTTTGCATTCGTACATTGCCGCGCTCCAATTATACAGCTTAAAATCCTTTGCTTTATAGTCTTCTACTCCTACTGTTCTGACTTACCTTCCTTCCTAGATACTTAAAATCAGCGACTTCTAATCTTTCGTCTCCTATCTTTATATTCGCTCTTTCCCTACTTTTTCTTCCCTTGCATACTAGTATTTTTGTTTTACTTTTATTGCTTCCGTTTTATTTAAAGCTATCTCTAACTCCTCCTTATTGATGCTAATACTGCTATATCATCTCTATTGCTCTAATTTACGTTTGAAATATTATAAAAATATTGTTTTCGCTGAAACTTTACAAAACTTACCGAAAACTATCACAAAAGTCATTTTGACAGTCTTTATCTTGGCACGAGGTATGATTCCTCTTGAACTTGCCCTTCGCGTATCTAAGTCTTCGGGCGATGGTCTGGACGGTCGTTCCCTGTGATCTTCACCTGAAAAAAATACATTGCATTTTATTTGATATTATAAGTGAATTCAGTTTGTGATTGTAACAATTAAATTTACGACTTAACCTTAGCATAAAGATATATTTTTAGATGTCATTTTATGATTTATAAGTTTCTGTGGAAAGCATTCATATAAGAATCACAGCAGTTCGACTGATTTTTCGCTGATGTAAAATTGGTTTACACAAAAAACCCTCTTATTTTAAGGGAATAATATGCAGCCTATACATATATCTACCTTAAAGGTCCAACATAAATATTGGTGATAGAATTTTTGAAATCGGATAAGTCGTTTCGGAGATTATCTCCTACATCTACACCTTCAAAATTTATTCATAGATACAACTATGAAGTTTCACCAAACAGTTTGCTGCTTTTGAATAAAATTTCAAGTTGTGCAGCAAGCTCTATTGACAACTTTTAACGGAGATTTATCAGAATAGTTTCGTTTGTATTGTCATTTCATGGTCATTTTCAAATAATATTACCTTAGAAATACCAAAGCAATCTTGTATCTGACAGCGTTATGTCATTCGGATTCATTTACATCTCTACATTTGCTACAAATTGTTGTCTTTATAAAGCGGCACTAGTTTAATGATGAGCACCTACATGCGAATACATGTAGTATGACTTAGACGCTTCGTAGTGATAATAGTCTGACACTATTTATTTAAACTATCTATTATTTTATGAATGCG